AAGGAATGTCGGAATTTAAGGTCAGTAACAGTTGGGTTTTTTGAAATGTCTGCGCCCCTGAATTTCTTGGCACTCTGGAAGTAAGCTGGAAGGTAAACTTAGGAGATTCATCCAACTTCTAGAAAAATGGGGTGGCTTGGTGACAAGTAGCACAGCTGAAACTCGTGATCAAATCTCTGATCAAATTTCACCTGGTCCGATCAGGTATTTTATTGCTTCAGGGGCGGGTACTTTCTGCTAGGCAAAAAAATGAGTTGTACATCGAGGGCAATTGCAAATACTTGTAATGGTAAAACATGAAATAAGTGCTACAAGAATTTGAACGGGAGTCGATCACAGATCACAAGCTCTTGAAAATGCGTCGCTTAATCCAGGCGTGCCATGCATCGCACCTTCAGAGGCGCCTAAGTGGCCTAAACTCCTGAAAATGGAAGAGATGTACCACCTCTTTTGCCAGGCCTTGGAGTGTATTTCGAATGCCCAGGAAGCTTCCTGTAAAGGCTGTCCTTTATTCGTTGTTTTGCCCCTGTTATTTAATGCCAAATGACCAACGCTCTTGGAGGGACGGCTGAAGGGAATTCGATCCTATTAAGCATGCACAATGCAGCCTTCCAAACCGCTATCCCACCTCAGATTCAGAATCAAAAACGAGAAATGAATGGACAGAGCCTCCAACGTTGATGAAACCATTTTACGGATGCGCCATACATTCTACTTTCATTCACAATCATAGTGAAATTTGTATGCGATTTGCTCTATCCAAGGACCTTCACGGTTAGCTGATGTCCAGTATTTCCGTCCTACAATACATAAGTATCCTCTCTTTTAAAGCTTGCAGCAATGAAATGAGGATTCCACGATAAGGCTGAAGGTCGCAGAAGAGGAAAAGTATCTAATGAAGAGGCAGGCGGCCCCCCAAGGGTGGAGGGCGCAGCGAAGGATATGCCCGGCGGCTTAGAAGGGCAGTACCCGCGCCGCTTCGCTGTTGCACTCCCATCGAGTGGGTGACCCGATGTGTCTGACTCTAGCAGCGCTAGGAGAGAGCGTTAGCATTGATGAGGTCAGCATGGATGAGACACGCCTAACACGCAATTAGTGGCAAAATGGGGGTCCCATTTCTAGGGTTCTGGTGCGTTTCTCTGTTTTCCCATCCCGCACTAGTAAAGTAACCACTTTTAAAGGAGGATTGCACGGAAAGAACGAAGGTCGAAGAAGGGAGAAATCGCCTAGTGGGGAGAGCGGTGAATCTCTTGAGGGTGCGGACAGACACGCAATCGGCATCGAAAGATTTGACCTCTGAGATCTAGCATGGCTCAAAGTTGGCGAGTTCGGCGATCTCCGCCCACCGATCGTCTGATCACTCGCCGTAGTACAATAGGTGGCGAGTGATTAGATAGCTGAGAGAGCGTAGGGTTGAAGAGGGCAAAGCGATGAGAGTCCCATCAATGCTCAAATCAACGGACAAGGAAGGGGTCCCATTTCTCCGGTTCTGGGCCGTTTTTCGTGGTTTCGCTTTCTTTCTGGTACTACTCACCATCTCTACCTCAATTTGGAATGGGTTGCTTTTCCATCGTAAATTCGTCCTTTAAAGATTCTTAATGGACTTGCTTCACGCACAGTCCGCTTCAATTGAGTTACAGTTATGGGAAGGTTCGGTCGGCCTGGGCGAAATAGAAAACGTAATGTGATCTCCTGCTAAGTGGAAAGCTGCATCACACTTCGACTCCCGGTTTGAAAGAAGTTTTCATTAATTCGAAATTTTTGAACGTATTCCACGTTCAATTGTGCGGAACACTGAACGCCCTGGGCAAGGTAGACCTGTGCTTGTGCGCCAGCTGTATTGGCGTTTTTCGAGCGCGCATGACAAGGATGCTAGGGCTTACGACGAAGACTTGGGATCACCCATCATGGGAGAATGCTCACCTAAAGCGAATGTGATTGGCGTAAGCGGTGACGCGAGCCTTTTTGCTCATTCATCAACGAGACGCTCCCTCATCCCTCATACAGTGCTTCTTCCAGTAAGCCTGTGCAGTGCTTCGAGAAAAATGCAAAAGGGTGGCCCTCGCTCCCAATAGGTTTTATTGCTTTTGTTCGCTTCCCTCAGTGCCTATAGCACTGTACTTGATCCCCTTTCAATAATCCTTTTATCTTGGACTGTACCTCTTAAACTGCGATAATGTGATAGTTCAGACGATCAGCGATGACACATGGCTTACCATTATGAGAGAGCAAAAAAGTCTGGATGCAGACCTCAAAATCCCAGCAAAATCTTTTACCGATATATTCACGAGGAAGAAGAGGCAGATGGACAAATGTGGTATGCTTTCTGTTTTGTTCGCAATTCAGAAGCTGTTATTCTTCGCCTGACAATCCTCACAATTATAGAATGCTCACTGAGAGCCCAGAATTGCCCACCCGGTCCACCTGGTCCTCCTGGCCAGCCAGGGGAGCGTGGTGAAGACGGCGCCAAAGGACCCGATGGTGATAACGGCGCTCCAGGACTTATGCTTCTGTAAGCTTACCAAGATAACAGTAGTACTCTGTCAAGATTATTTATTTTTGCCAGGGAAACTCTGTTGCAGATTCGAGTCCGAAACGATATCTGGTTGTATAAAATGCCCGCACGGACCACCAGGTATGCCAGGGCAGCAAGGACCTCCTGGACCACCAGGAGCCCCTGGAAGTCCAGGAATGCGCGGTCCACCTGGAGATAGTGGAGCACCCGGAGCTGAAGGAATGCCCGGCGAACAAGGTCCTCCAGGACACGCTGGGCACGATGGCCCGCAGGGCCCCAGTGGCAAACCTGGAACTGTATGCTTACTTGGGATGCCTGGTCCGCCGGGAATTCAAGGACCAAGAGGTGCTGTAGGCGAGCCGGGAGAGGCTGGTGCGCCAGGTGATGACGGCGAACCTGGCCGAGACGGGCCACCTGGCCTTCCTGGAAGACCTGGACGAAAAGGACAAGACGGCAACCCAGGAATGCCTGGAGAGGATGGGGCTGATGGCGAGGATGCTAAATATTGTAAGTGCCCAGCAAGAGGTCAACGAGTAATTTAGTGTGGGATTTCTAGCTGTGCAAGAAACGACTAATCCGTCATTTGTCACATGAATAAAAGTTTTATACCGATGTTTTGAAGATGAGAATGGACTTGTTACGTGTATGCCGAGCCTATCAATCGGCCAGTGGCAGCGATTTCGTTAGTTGCGCAAGATTCCAACAAGTTTTAGGGCGAGCTGCGTCAAACTTTCAAAAGCCTAGCCAGATCTCACCCTCTAAACTAATACAAGAAAATTCCACGAGAAGGACAAAGGTTGAAAAAGTGGAATTTACCTAATTGAGAGACAGGCGGACCTACTAAGGCGCAGACCAGCACGCAATTCGCATCGAAAGATATGCCCGCGGCGATCTAGCACGACCTTTGCCGCGGCGATATTGGTGCGCTACCAGCGCGGCACGCCCCTTCTCGGTGTCTGAGCCTCCGGCTTTTAGCAGAGAGAGTGTGTTAGCGTTGGAGAAGGCA